GATTAAAGTTGGAATTACCAACATTAAAGTTGGAATTTCCAACTTTAAAGTTGGAAAAGCCAAGAATAAAGTTGGAATTACCAACTTTAAAGTTGGAAAAGCCAAGATTAAAGTTGGAATTACCAACATTAAAGTTGGAATTTCAAACTTTAAAGTTGAAAAAGCCAAGAATAAAGTTGGAAAAGCCAAGATTAGTTAGAATTACCAACTTAAAGAAAAATATTGTGTGGCAATAATACGTTTCCTTAGTATGACAATAGGGGTAGTCTCAAAAAATATTTTTGACGATAATATTACATCCCCCTTTTTTTAATTTTCAAAATCAACACAGAAATTTACATCGAAATAATATAGCTGCAGATCTGTAGCTCTCCAAAAAAAAAAAATTGATAGACCGGAGAGCTACAGAGCCACCCATTGAAAAAACTGTATATTTATTGCGCACAAAAAAGTGCGCTCGGTTCTTGATTTATTTCTCCATGTTTTTAAAGCTGTAATCTCAAAATATTACTAACCGTGTGTTCCTAATATATTCTTTGACTCTTTCCACAACAAAACATTCCTCATAATTGTTGTTAATGGTCCTCCTGGCCCTGATATTGCAATCATCGGACATTTCGCTTATTTATACTGCCATTTTGGTTTCAAAGATAATTCGGTCCAATACTGTAGATTCCTAATTAAACGCGAGGAATTAATTTCCGCGTAATTACGCGAGAAGCATCACTCGCGAAAAAATATTACTCGCTTTTATTTTTATAGTGCTAAAACCTATGTAAAATCTATTGATCAACCGTCCATTCGCGAATTATAATTCTTGCGATTTGACGTTTAAGAGCCAGTTCGCGATAAAAAGTACTCGCGAAGAATAAGGAATCTAGAGTATGCTTCGTTCAGATGTCAACTACGCGAGAACTTGATAGAAGAGAGAGTAATATATTTTTTGAAATCTTCCATTTTTTGCATTTGAGGGAATAATTTGGAAAAATAAACCAAGAATCGAGCGCACTTTTTTGTGCGCAATAAATATAGTTTTTTCAATGGGTGGCACTGTAGCTCTCCGGTCTAATCAATTATTTTTTTTCGGAGAGCTACAGATCTGCAGCTACGAAATAATAAATTCGAAGTTTTACACACGGCCAGAACGAGTGATATAAGGTTCTGAGGAGTCTGATGATCTGTCTTCAGTGTCTTTATTATCTCGGGTACTCTCAGGGGAACTACTGACTCGATTTGTTTTAAAGTCAGCAGGTGCTTGACAGACTGACTCATTTTGATCATTCATAAGTACAAAAGGTTCGAATTCTGGTAGTGGCGCTTCGCGAGATTTTAACAGATAGCGCCGGTTTCTACGATACTCTCTACCCTCGGGGGTTTTGACTTTGTACGATCGCGTGTCCACTTGGGATGTCACAGTAGACGGAACCCAAATACCTTGTTTCTGTAACCGAACAGTTTCTCCAATATCTAGTGGTTTAAGCGGTTTCGCTTGCCGTGAATAGTAAGCAGATTGCTTAGTTTTGCTCTGTACGAGCTGAGCACGAAATGCTGCGTGATTGACAGTCTGTGGTCGCAATTGCTCGTGAGTAGAGAGTAAGATAGATCTTAAACGTCGACCCATGGATTTTAGCTGCTCGTAGGAATATTCAAAATTCTGGCCAATCTCGATGGCTTTGTCAAGCATAAGATCTTTTCCCACGTTGATGAGTTTCTCTCATATCTTATTGGATGACACATCGAACACGATCCTGTCTCGGATCATTTCATCGCTATCGGTGTACGCACATTCTTTACTGAACCTCGTTATTGAATCTATGACGGGCGAACACTGAATTGATTTTTGGTTGCACGTGACTTTTGAATCGATCGTATAAAGTCTTTCATTTCTTACTGTCATCTTCTGAGACATTCCAAGTACTAAAAATGTCTCTACCTTTGTTTTCCACCCAGAGAAGCAAGTATGAACACTTTTCCTCCTCATTTTACTCTTTAGGGGACCTTTAAAAATTAACTGTGTGTGTTGTTAGAATTTACTCCAAGCCTCGGGCAAGTTTGTGGACTCCCAGTCTACTACGGGCTGTGGAATTCCCTCCATAATTCTGACACCATGTAAGATTGTAAAGTATTGGTGGAAAAAATAATATAAGTACGCTGAGTTCTGCCTCGTGTATTAACATCAAAAACGGACGTACTAAAATCATACGGAGTTCACACACAGTACAATACATATAGTATGACAATAGGGGTAGTCTCAAGTTATTTTTTACAATATTACAATTCTGAGGTGAAATTGCAGATGGAACTTGTGGATTCCTTTCAAGATTTTCAAATTTCTGTCTTGTTGAGTTTTGATCATCGTCATTTGAAATAAATTTTAAATTTGACTGCATTGATGACTTATAAGAATGCTGATTCTTTCGACATCTTGTTTTATCTGATGCTTAACGATCGATTTAAGCAAATTTCAACAATATATGTATTGTAATTTCGATTAGGTTTGATTGAGTAGGCTAAAAACTTGGTCCTCATTAAACAACTCAAAAATTCTGACAAGACAATTCATTGAGTTTCATGGAAAAATGTCTTCAAAAAGTTATCTCTCTTATCAGAAGGACATTACTTTAATATAACACTGCCTGGTTTTTCGATGGACTGCCTCTTCAATATTAGTATCAATTATTATTAAATAGATATTTCTGATGTGTAAAGTGATTATAATGAATCACCTGAACTATGCTTATGCACTATAGAAGTTAATGGGCATATACAATTGACTAATTATAACAAAGTATTTCAAAAGCTTTTTTAATGGATTAAAAATTATTGGTCTTTGATGCATGTAAGTGAAATTAATCTAAATGCATACTTTTGAACATACAAAATATATGTTTTAAAAAAACACGCAATTTTTTATTACGTTGTATAATTCCAGAAAACACCAGAGCTTATATACTGGAGTATTGACTTTTTCAAAGTAAATAAACAACATCTGTTTAATCTGACAGCCATATTCTATGACGCTTGACGTAAAAATAAATAAAAACAATGTCTAAATAAAAAGTTGAAATATACATTATAGGATCATTTATCCCAGTTGCTGAAATTATCCAAGTTTGGTTCAACAATTTTCGAGGATTTTCTGAACGTCTCCTCTTATACTTATTAAAGTATAAGCAGGATTATATGCATATATTTATTAGCGTGTTTCAAAGCGATAAATGCAGAATACACAAAACTTACACTATTTAGTCTATAAGTTTATACTGCAGTCTATTTCACTTGACATTTGATAAAATGTGTAATATTTAATGAAAGGAAAAACAAAGCGTCGAAAGAAAAGTTTGTTTGAAATTGGTCCAGCGGTTGAGAAGAAGATGAAAATGTGAAAAGTTAACAACAACGACGACAGACAACGGACAAAGAACTAGGGCGCTTTTGATTGACATTCGGCAGGAATCTGGGCGTAATTGAAAAGTAAAAATTTTACCAACATATCACAAGAAATTTTAACATTTTTTTAATTTATCGGGTTCCTGTGCAATAGGAAATGAAAATGTTTTCCGGAAATTGAGCTTTGATTTGCTCAAAAATAACTTGAAAATTGCCCAGATCAGACATTTTGTACAAAAAGGTACATTTTCAAACACATTTTTCTAAAAATTTTCTATATCTGGGTCTTCTCTCCATGATTTTGAAACGTTATTTGTGTGTATTTTAATTCAAAGAAACGAATACACTTTTTTAAAAAATGGAGAGAAGACCCAGAGACCACGAAAAATAAACTATTTCCCAAAAATCCAAATGTGTGAATGTTTTGCTTCTTTGTCCTTTTAAAATCATCTGTATATGAGTAGCGGTGATAGCTCAGTAAGTTGGATTACCTGTTCAGAAAAAAAAAAAGGATTACCTGTTCAGTGCACTCGATGTGAAAAGTTTTTGGTTCGAGCCTGGCATGGGGCGTGTAAAAAAAAAAAAAAAAAAAAAGAAAAGAAAAAAAAAAAAAAAAAGATTCACTGTTCAGTACACTCGATGTGAAAAGTTTTTGGTTCGAGCCTGACATGGGGCGTTAATTCTTTTTTCCATGCAAGCAACAATTTATTAGTCAGTTTCGTTTTATGTACTGATGTATTAAAATTTTGAATGAGATAAATGTGGTTCAGTTTGGTTCTCGAGCGAAATCTATTCTAATCTTCTATTCTATAATGTACATGTACACGTATCATGCATCTATGCGTTAAATATTTTAGGTGTTGTTTTTTTTTTGGTGAAACATTACTATGTTTTAGTACCCCCTAGGAAAAACGGACTTAAATGTTACAATTTCACAATGTCTTTCAAACTAAATGAAAAAAACCTATGGTCGTGTTTGTAAAATCTGACCAGCTATGTTAAGCCAACTAAATCATGGACATTTAAACCATAAATGTTTCGTACAAATGATTTCTGCAGATCACTCGCCAAATGCGCCCATCTTCTTTTGATCAGAAAAGCTCACTTGAGCCTTCGGCTCAGGTGAGCTAAAAAGATTTCACTTTTGTAAATAAAAAAAAAATAGCAAGAACTTTTTTCTTTCAAAATTAACATACCTTTGCTACGTAAGGTACATATACATTGTATATGTCACGTTAGAAGTTATATTTGTTTAGTAGTTCAGCTTAAGGTTTGACCAAACCACATAATTTTGATAAAGAGTACAAAAATGCCACTTACAGTTAATATATTTTGTAAAAAAAAAATTTTTAAATGTATGAATTTTTCTTGATGCATAATTTTTGGGACTTTTTCGAAAGTGTGTTTATTTTAAGCTGGTAAAAAATTAACTTTCTTAATTAATAACATTTTTATTGAAAGAAATCTTGATAAAATACCCGTGTACATGTAGCTCTTCTAAGTGGGAGATAAGAAAATTAATTTCTGGTATGTTTCTTTAAATGTTATTATATTCAGAGATCATTGAGGTCTAAATATACCCTTCACCCATCCTGTTTAAATACCTTCCATGGTCTGGTACCCATTGATTTATTTTCAGTCCACTTGTTTTTCAATATAAACAAAATGGCGTTCACGGAGTTACTGTACACACTTCCTTGTGTTATACTTTTCCATCTGTTACAAAGTAAGTCGATTGTTTATATTGTTTTTGTACTATTTTCAATTGGCTGTAGTGTATCTTTTATCTGATAAAAAAAAATTTTGGATCGTGAACCGTTGACTTCTACGTGAAAAAAGACATTGTGAAATCCATGTCTTAAGGAAAGAAATCTATATAGTACGTACATGAGATTGATTTTTATACGAGAGATGTACAGGTGAAATTATGGACAAAGCGTTTTCTCAAACATAATCGGCGCCCTAAACTGAGCAATTTTTTTTTATCATATTTAAGTACATCTTAATATTATTATAAAGTATAGACAAAAAGTAAATAAATTGTTATGGTTGAGTGTACAAAGGGTACGATCCTACCAAGCACGATCAAGTAGCCGGAAAGTTTCATAAGAAAATACTAGAATATTATTTCGTAATATATTTATAAATAGCCAAGGTTGGAATACAATTATTTTTAATCTACTATCTATTGTGTCGTCATTTGGAAAATTTCAAGGCATTTGATTTTTTGGAAGTTTCCCGAGCAACGAAATAGGAAAATAGGAAACATATCAGACGAAAAATTGCAACGTTTGTCGGCGCGCCGGAAAGCAGTTTGATTTAGGTGTAGTTATGACGCCTAATAGAAAACATTAAATGAAATTATATGAAAAAACCACCAGATCTTTAGTTTAAAAGTGAAATTTGAGTTTTCCTAGCGTTTTCTTTTTTGAGTTCCCGGGTACAACAAAACATACGGACAAACTGCAATGGTATAGTGAAAGACGCTGTCACTGCAGACCGTCGATATAAGCTTGCCAAAAAAATTAACATTCTATGTAAAAGTATCATTAAAAATTAATGTTATGGTTTTTACATCGTCAGAATAATAAATGAAATAAAAAAGGTATATTAAAAGAAAAAAAGTTTCTTTTTTTCTGTGTAACTTGCCAGAAAAGGAGAAAAGTTGGGCGTAAACATTTCAAAGTATTTCATTAAACTTAAGCGAACAACTTTTGGTTTTTAGCACCAGCATGTTTGTACTCTTACAAAAACTCTGTCTATTTATATTCTGAAATAGGTAGTGAAGGAGCATACAGGTCATATCGTTACTACAGATACAGTTATTATTACTATTATTCCTACGACTATGTCTATTTATCGTGAGTAAAGTTTTGTCATTTATTCGTAAGAAATCCAATGAGTGATTGAATTTTTATCGTTTTCTTAATATTTACCGCAAAATATATCTCAACCATGATAAAAAATAACGTTCAAGACTTTTGAGTGAATCATAATAGCAGTTGTAAAATAACTAGGTGGTACATAATTGAAAAAAAAAAATCAATGACAGAAATATTCTTTTGCATTATAAATGTTAAATTATGAATGATTAGTTCTCAGTCTTTTCTACACATTGTTAATATCAGAATCTGTATACAAGTATTAACTTTATATTATATTCATTACGACATGTACATTTATATATACACATTGTAGAGGCGGAGCAATTGCTGGTATCGTCAGTGGTATCATCTTTTTCATCGTCTTTATCGTCATAATGGTGGTTTGCTGCTGTCGTGCAGCACAACAGAGAAGACAAATGCCGGGTGTTGTCTACAGCAATGGAATGAACCAGCAAACGGTGATATCAACAGGTACATGTCTACATATATACATTTAACTTATTGAACTCCACAGAGAACTTTAAAAAACATGATTCTATATCACTAAATTATTTTACTCTGCGATTCACATTCCTAATGATTTAGGTATCTATTGATTTTGTATTCTTGCAAAACTTATTGATCACATTTTACCTTTTCATTGAATGCACTCCAATAGTTCAACTAACATTTAGTTAAATATTATTAAATTAATTGTGAAGCTAACGAACAGAAACTGTACTTAAAACATTACAATTGAGAGCAAATTAAACATGGACCCTTGAAAACATGAATTTAATTTGCTTACACTGTACACAATTATATAGATTAAGTAAATACCACCAGCAATTTTTTTTACTTTAATACTTTTAACCTATTTAATTAACATTAAATGATTTTTTTTTTATAATGTAAATTACATTATCAATTAAATGTATCTACTTGTCTCACCAGCAAACACTGCCCCCGGATTGTACCCCACTCAGCCCTACCCTGCTGCTGGTCAATATAACATGGGAATGCAGTACGGGGCACCGGGTCAGCAGTATGGGGCACCAGTTCAGCAGTACGGGGCACCAGGCCAGCAGTACGGAGTCCCTGGTCAACAGATTGTTTACCCTCCTACTGGACAACAATATACAGAACCTGCACCATCATACGAATCAGTTACGGAACAGAAAACTCCGCCTAATCCAACTTAAGAATGCTGTTACATGTACCAGAACCCAGACATGGTTCAGAATATATTTTCCCCTGCCACTAATGATGGACAATACAGAATTTTTATTATTTTTTAAAAACTTGTAAAACTTTAGTATTCCCGGTTATTTTTCATGTTTTGTAAAACTATTTTTAACTCAAACAAGGTTGAATTACTGCTGATTTTTATTTTAATTTGTTTTCACAAATATCAGAGAAAAAGGATACAAATTTCATGGCAAAAATATATACAAAAACTTCACACGATATGTAAGCCAAAATATTTCAGGAGTACACAGTTTCACTTACTTCAATAATATTTATTAATTGCAGTTTATTAAGTAATGAAGGATACTAACAGCGCGTACCTGTATCATCAGTAAAATACAAAATGTATGCTAATATCAAGCTACGGATTACAATTATATCATGTATGGCGACACTTATTAACAAAAATTATTGATTTGACGTTCTAATATAAACTACTGGTGATATACGTGTATAAATATATTAATCAGAAACTTTTATATTGTATTGAAATTGCTGTTAATGTTTTTTTTTCAATGGTTGAACTCTTGACTTATCATAAAAATCACTTTGAACATATCTGAAAGTCCTACGTATTGTTGTTTTCTCTATTGAATGTAAATAACGTATACTAGCTATTACCACAAACAAATTTTTCTACCTTCCGCATAAAAGAGTTACACTACCAGAATTTGTAATGTTTGGTTCTAATTTTATAAAACCGGAAATTATAATGTAAACATGCTTCATCGGTAATTGTTCCGGGAAAATTACAAGCGAGTCCAAATATAAGCGTTTAAGAAAGGAGTTTGAAGGGGAAAAAAGAAGCAGCAAGTTATCAATATATCAATATATTCAACTACGAAAATTGAAAAAAATAATTATTTTTGTTCGGACAGTGTTCATGCAGACTTTAGAGGATACAACTCTTTCCTGACCTGGCTCAATAAAAATCTTTTTTTTCTCTCGTTTTATTAGTGTCGAAAGGATACACGATTCCTTGTTTCTTCAAAAATAATACTACTGTCAAGACTCCGTAAAAATATCAACATATTTCTGGATTTTTTGTAAACTTATTACACAAGTTTTATCCTTTTTTAAAATAAATTGATTAATATATTATTTGACTGCCAATGAGAAAAAATTTGTTTGCCTACAATAAAATCTTTGACACAGGAGAATGATCTGTATAACTTTATAACTACAAATTTATTTCTTCATTAAGATGGAAGTAATAAATTTAAAGCTTGATAATTCTTGAACTAAAAATATACATCTTCCAACTCTCCGGAATCTTGATGCATTTTTAGCTCAGCTAAGCCGAAGGCTGAAGTGAGCCTTTCTGATCACATTTGGTCCAGCGCCCGTCTGTTTGTCTGAAAACTTATTACATTTTTAACTTCTTCTCAAGAACCACCGGGACAATTTTAACCAAACTTGTCACTAAGTATCTTTGGGTAATGGGAATTTAAGTTTGTTATGGCCCCATGGTCAGGGGTTCTGGAGTTCGGGCGGGGTTCTATCGATTATATAGTGAAAATACATTATAAATCTTCTCTACTCCTGGGTATTAAGCAGATGAACTAACCTATAAAACTATGATGAGCAGGGGCTTTTCTTCCAGAATTGTGAATTTTAAGGCCCATGGGTCAGGGGTACCGAAGAGAGGGTTCTAGTTATATACTTGGAAATCTGCTTCTTGGTATTAATCAAACTTTTTTATTAGCAAGGGTGCCTTTTCCAAATTTGTGAAATGTATGGACCTAGGGTCAGCAGATGATGTGTGGTAGGGGCACTATTGATTATTGCTAAATATTACTGATTAGTTGAAATGCATTTTTTTGTTCCGCAACGCTGCTTATGGGTATTAAGTAACCAAACTAAGCAATTGCTCAGTGTATACATGTAGTTATGATGAGCTATGGCGCCTCTTTCAAAATTGTGAATGTCATGGCATCTAGTTTAAAACATGAACAAAATTCAGTCAGTGGAAAATTGTTGCATGATGCGCAGGTGGCATATAAGGCCAATATGGGCCTCTTGTTTAAATTTGGAAAATGAAACAAGACTGGGTTAGTCAATTGAAAGGTTGAGGCATCTGGCGAATATTTTCTATAAGACAGATTTTGGTTGCTGTAAATTTCACATATTTCAGTGCATATTTCTTGGGAGTCTTAACATGTTTTACAGCAGCTTTAATGAAGCTTTAATTTCGCTCTAGTTGATTGATTCTTTACCATTAATTTTTAATGCAGTGTCTCGAATAGCCATTGTTTTCTCACAAGGAAACTGTGTGATAAAAAGTGATCACACAAACTCTTATCAAATCATTAAAGGTTCAATCATGATAGAAAGTCAAGCTTAATGTCATATGATTTGTATGTTGTATGACATAGAGTTCAAAACATAATTTTTGAAGTCGCGGTCGCGGCTGAAATTCGAACTCACGACCTCCCGATCGCGAAGCGAGCGCTTTACCAATTAAGCTACATGTACCGTGAACTGTCCACCAGAAATCATATGGCGCCCACAAGAAATATTTATTTTGAAAATATCCATTTAAAATTTTTGGAGAAAGTTTTTCAAAGTTGACAAATTGTATCAAATCTTGTATTACCATTAAGCCTTATATCCACTCCGTAACTGGTAGAAGACGTGCATTAACCCAACTGAACACATTGTCGAGACACTTCCCGCTTCAAGTTTCAATTGTACTTCTGTAAAGATATTTCCTCAATATTACTCAGACCATGGCTTCTTTAAGTTGGTTAATATGTTTGTTTTGCATTGCATTTGTAAAAGGTAAGAAAGTTGAAGATTTTTAGAAATCTAAATAAACTAGTTTGTACTAAGATTGCTGTATATTTGTTACCTATACTGTCATAAATATACATTAGTTATCTATACTGTCATAAATATACATTATAATAGCGATTATGAACAAAAGATGCCGAAAAGAAAAGAAAAAGTGAGACTCAAGTGTACTTATTTGATGAAAAAAAATGTGTGCTACCCCCGAAAAGTTTAATTCTAAAATAGTAAATACATTGGAAGAGAGAAAAAGAGAGAAAGCAAGTCATTGATAATTGATAGTATATTGTTTAACGTCCCTCTCGAGAAGTGTTCACTCATAAGGAGACACCACCACTTGCCGATGGAGAGCTACAAATTTTGTCCTATACTAGGCACTCGTGACCATTGAGCAGTGAGGGATCTTTTTCCTGCCAGTACTTACTGCGACACAGATCCTCTGTTTTTGCTGTCTCATCCGAAGGACCGGTCTCCACGTCCCACTGTGGGGTTTCGAACCCGTGACGTAAGGATTGACTCCTTACTTCGCGACCCTAAAGCAGACGCTCAAACCACTGTGCCACGCGAACGACTACAAGTTATTGAAAGGGCATGAAGTCGGAATAAAGGGTATATGTATTTACATTGTGAAGAAAAATAAGTCATTGATTGGCTAACAAATCGGTGGTTCAAGTTATAAATTTTTAACATTTGAGATAAGTATAAATAAAGCCCAATAAGTTTTAATACGCAATCGTGTATCATTGTGCATGTTGATTTTTGGGTATGATACCGTTATTTTAATTTCCTATTGTTAAGAAAACAATATTCGCAATAACTTTAGAACAAGGAAAAATATTTAAATCTGTAAGCAGTTGTTCTTTTTATTACGCATTTGGTAACCTGTTATGTCCCAGTAATACATATAATTATCTAAATGTGTCCGGATTTTTGTCATTAATATACGTAGCAGTTAAAAAAAAAACGAAGTTCAGACAATCATACCGATGTTTCTAGAAACTTTTTAAAAAAAATCTTTACATCAGACCCACAATGAAATGAAGTTCGTATTATTTACAAGGAAGTTACAAAGTGAAAATCT